AAACCAAACAATTATGCAAACTATTAACTTCTCACAAACTGAACTCACCAGCAGTACTGGGAAATATTGGCCCAAAGATGTAGCAGTTCAGACCAAGGGTTAATATTCCATGATACAGCTTGAGCAAATGAGATTGGTAAGTGGTTTGTTATATGGCACTCAGGCTAAACAATGTTTATTTACAATTTGCTGGGGGCTTTCATGACCAAAAATACATTTTGTCGAATAATTATTTAACATGTTTATTCGATGACTCGTATTCACAACTGTCCTTAATCAGAAAACACATGAGTAATTAATTTAAAAGCCTCGTGATCAACTGTCAATCATAAACGTCCTTTGAACTCTGTACAAACAAAACAGAAAACAAAACCCTATGGGAGCTAATAAGTTTCACGACACACTCCTCCGGTTTGGGTTATATTCGTAAACAAACATACAAAATTTTAAATGCAATTTCGTATCAAGTACGAAATCTTCGCATGAGTTCACACCTCATTGCAGCATTGCGACGTGGTGTAGTGTTTGCAGAAGTGTTCGGAGTATCATGAACAGGAGAACCGCTCGTTGGTTTGGCTCCGTACTCTTCAATTTGATTAATGTCATTGTTGCTGTTGACTCTAAGTGGAAACAAATGTTTGCCACTTCGTTTCAACAGACGAGGAATACGATCTGCACTTGAGACTTTGATAATAGCAGCTCGGATGTCACCATCCTTTCTCGGGAAAAGTTCTTCCACTTTAGCTAATTTCCAGACCATTCTGTTTGATGTATCGTTCTTGAGAATGACTACATCTCTGATGACTATGTCAGCTTCTTTTCGATTCTTTGTGACTTGTGCATGTCTCTCTCCAAGATTCAACAGATAGATTTTTCTCCATTGGTCAGTAAATTGGCGAAGAAGATGGCGATGATGTCTTGCTCTTCGTGTAAGCGATTCGTCGGTGCTGATGACCTCAAAATGACCGTCGTTCGCAGTATTGGTTACTCGTTGCCCATTGATTAGGTACGAAGGGGAAAGTGTGTAACTCACGCCATCTTGATCGTCCTCCACGTAGGTCAGAGGTCTTGAGTTAACGATGGATTCGATCTCGACAAGCAAGGTGTTTAACTCATCGTAGCTTGAGGTGGTTCTGCCAAGGGACTTTTTCATACAACACCTGATGCTCTGGATTAATCTCTCCCAGAAGGCGCCTCCCCACCAAGGGGCCTTCTCAATAATAAATCTCCAGCTGACACCATTGATGGCTAAGTAACGCAAGACTTCTTTCGACCGTGCAATCTTGACAATTTCCTTTCCGGATCCTCGAATTGTTTTTCCATTATCGGACATTAGAGTTGCAGGCAGTCCCCTTCGTGGGTCCTCTTTTTATACGTGGTAATTCGACTACTGAAAACGACAAAAGTAAGTGCTATATTTGTTTATTTTCATGCGCTTCAACGAGACCTGTACACCTTGAACTTACACCAAATCTCACTGTTGAGTCTTTCCTGTTAGCGTTTCGCCGCTTTAAGAGTAAATAGTGGATCCTCAAAGACACGAACGCTTGGTAAATCAGAGGGACTTTAAGCAAACCACGACGGCTACGGCAACGAGAACGTGCAAAAACAATAGATCTAATTGACGGAACAATAGCCCAGCACGTGCGTTTTAAAACTTTGTACATTTCTTAGCCGTCCTTTGCAAAACAACAAGGAGAAATCACCGAAATCTGCGTCGTCTGGGAAGCGAAACCGCGGAGGCAAATTATTTTAATTTACATTTGGAACTCAGCGCTGCTTTTATGCGTTATGTTGAGTTTGAGGTCTGGCACCCTATGAGATGGTAAACACATGCAGTCATTTTGGAAATTCTAACTAAAAGTAGAAACTCATTTTTTAATCGATGTCTTCTATGGCATTGCCGTCCTAACTGCTTAAAGTCCCTATTGTAGCTTGAGTACGGCAGACCTTCGAGTCTTTGACAAGTAACACAACGTTTAAGCACGTGCTTCACTGCCTGTCTCCCTCGTAGAATCCAAAATCTCTCACGAATAGTCGTCAGCGTGTTGTTGACTGAGCTGTGCTTGACTTTGTCATGAGTTTGACGGATTATCAATTCAACATAAGGATATAATTTAGATATATCAACAACGTTGAAATGGTAAATTGCCCACTGTAACAATTACAAAAGCTGACGTTTCGAGGGTTAGCCCTTCGTCGGAGCATTTAGAGGAATTGTGGGTTGTGTGTGCTTTTAAAGGTGGAAAATGGTGCTACGTTATTGGTAAGAACATAGCAACGTGAAAAACAAGAATAAATTAGTGGAATGAAAAGCGTTTGTTGATCCCTGTGGGATTTAGACTGCCAGTTTGAAAGATGAGCTTTTGTTCAAGATTTTTACGGCTTTCTGTGCTTTTTAAGTGTAAGAAAAGACCGCAGATTGCCAGTTACTGTAACTCTGTCATAGTTTGAACTGGTAGCTTCAGAGATGAAGCACAGTTCCTACATCCCATGGAAACCATGGTTACCGTAACCAATTGCTGAACTACTGAGCTGA